GGGTGCCGGCGGTGGGGGAAACAAAAGAGTGCGATCATAACAAGTGTCCATCAGCAAATCCTGATTTTTTTGGGTCTACACCGTACTATAGCATACTATGGAGCTCTACATAGTACTACATAGTGAGGGATTACTATGCGGCAAAGGACCTTCACTACACCGGACTACACCGGACTATGTAGCACTATGTAGCACTCTATAGTTCAATCAGGATTTGCTGATGCTCAACAATACGCCATTTTAGGACAGTGCATGTGCACGGACCTCGAATCCCGCGTTGTGCGCCGCTGCGGGAAGGCGACGAGCGCGTGGCGGGCGAGCGCGTGCGTGATGCAAATGGCCGAACGGGATTTTCGCTGAGCTGAGTCATCGGTGCACATAGCCCATTAGAGCTTTTGATGCATCATCGTTCATCTCTGATTAGCCTATGTGTGATGCTTCAAACTACCGTATGCGCCTGGCAATCTGCGCGGGCTCCGTATGCCCGGGATATGCGAGTAGCCGCCTAGATACATTACATATACTACACCCCCCCCTGCAGTAACTTCTTGTACCTTGGCCATACCCTTGCCCAATTCGCTTAAGTCGTTTCACATTTGGAATTTCAAAAGTTTTTATATTTTCCAGTAGTCCAACGATTGTGAAAATCAGCCGAGATCTGAGCAAGATACGAGGCCAACTACAACAAGGGGGGTTGTTGTAGCAGGAATGTTACTGGGGCTCTGAGCCGATTGTAGAGCCAAACCGGTCCGCTACAGGCCCAATCGGACAAAGAGGTGTGTATTTAATAGTCGCTGGGCCTTAAATAAGGTCCGTTCTGGGGCCACAACGACGGATAAGATATACAGAGCTGGATGAGGCCAGGGTATCTTCGCAAAAGTGCAAAACATTACAGGGTGAATTGTCACTCGAGTCGGGCGTGGATCCAAAATACCAACAGTATGAAGCAAGAAGAGTACAAAGGTTAACATGATTTGCTACGGAATAACAGCTGAACACGGGCCAAAAAGTGCGAAACGAAATCTCGGAAAATGGCCAAGAAAGGTTATGTCCGTTTGTCCGACCACTATGTATGTCCGGGCCGGGGCGGACAGTACGTGATATCAACTTCAGAGGCCGAGTAAGCCGATAACGAGACCCAGGCCAAGCTGCCCGAGGAGGACGGCGACGCTCGTGAGGCTGTTCAAATAGGTTGAATTAGCATGAAATGGAAGGAATAATGGAATGGATGCACAGGCCAGCGATGAGGGTGACGACACCGGCAAGGACGACGTCGAGGCCAACCAAGAGTTCATTGAGCGCGACATCGATGGCAATGATGGGTGTGCCGAACGCGGGGATGGCCATAGCCGAGCCGGAGAGGCCGTTGAGGGTGGTGCTGATTTCCTGGAAAAAGGTGGAGTATGAGGATGACAGTTGGAACTTTTATGTAGCGGGGAGACGCACAGTGATGATGCCCGCAACGACGGTGGCGACTTTGCCCTCGGTCTGGCGCTTGGCGGAAACGGGTAGGGACGAGAGGGACAAAGTAGCGGTGTTGAGGGCGGCGGTGAGCTCCCCAATGAGCGGTGTCACGGTCGCGTCACTGGCCGTTCCACCAGAAACCAGTGCATCTGGCATACACGGTTAGTTGGGGTGTTGGATGAACAATGTAAGGGAGGGCACACCAATCTGAGGGAGGATGGAGTCGGTAGAGCTCTTAAGCGTGGTGAAGACAGTCTCGACGTCAGCGGTGGATGCGCGCTTGTCGACGACGGCAAGGCCGGCGGGTGCGGACGTGGGACTGGTGGACGCAAGGGTCGCTGCGAAGAGTAAGAGGGAAGCGAAACGAAGAGCGAACATTTTACTCGTCATCACCGAAAGTAACCGGAAATTGATTCACTGCTCCAGATCACGTGACCCGAACTCAACCATACCTTATCACCGAATACCTACGGATGTTAGCAACGGATAACACAACTTGGTTTGGGGGAATTGACCCAATATTGGTCTCCTGAGGCCAGAAAAGATCAGCTACCCATGTTTAAATTATAACATTTTATCCAACGGTCGAAAGAACCTTCACGGAAAAAATACTCAGACCCTAAATTCAAAGTTGGATGTCCTCAAATAGATAAATAGCCATCTTTCGCGCATTCCGGGACCGTTATACGGCTGTTTGTGCAACTGACGTTTGCCCCACACCATATCACAACATTGTCTACAGGATTTCAGGATTGATTGTTGAACAAGCAATTCAGGTGGTAAATTGTCATGCAGAGTACCATGGATGTATGAAAAGACACCTGAGAAATGCTACAGTCACTTTTCGAACATGGCTGAGCTGTTCCAGGTTCAGTTTTCTCAGTTTTACCCCGCAGCAGTTTGTGCACCATCCATGCAGGCATGACCTGTCTGAGAAAATGCCTTGTTTATGAGTATTGAGTCACCTTCCTTGAGTTTCATGTCATGGGTTATGTTCAATGTATGCTATGGAATAGTCCCCACCACATAAACCTCTATGTATGCCCACAGACTGAACCATGTGCCCCAATTTTCGAAACATATAGCCAAAATCAGGTGTACCCAAAACAATTGAGCTACAGAGGCTATATACATGCTTTTCGATGCCGACTTTGATATGAAGGGCGAGAATATATCTAGATGAGCATTCAAAAGTAGTCAGACCCAAAAGATTCCACAAATTTCTCCCATAATGAGCGAATTTCCGGTTACTTTCGGTGATGATGAGTAGATTACGTTAGGTAGGGAGGTGAGAGTGGGTGGTTTGGTGTAGGTAGGGGCCGATGATGCACTGGGTGAGTGGATGATTTTTTCGTTCGTTCAAAGGCATCCTTTATACTGGGACACCGAAAGAAATCGCCACTTTGTTGTCACTATGCGCCATTTTCACGCCCCTCGGCGCTATCGCGTCTGGTGAAGATCCTCCACTGCACAAAAAAACAAACGGCAGACGAAGGAATTTCGACTTGCGTGGAGTGGGAGGCATCACAGACCATTCTTCCAGCCTAAGTGGAGGACGTGCAAGCGGTTGCGTGATGTCAGAAGCTGTGTCAAGGGGATTAATGTTGCGACTTGGATCCGAAAGCACACTTGTTAGGTTCTTTTCCCAGGTCGTATCGTTCGTGATGAAAGTCTACCCGTGCCACTTCAGTGGTGGGTGGTCCACACAGACAGAGGACCCACTCCCATGTCGTTTTTTCACGCACCTCGGCGGTATTGTGTCTGGTGGAGATCCTCCACTGCACGAAAAAAACAAACTGCATACGAAGGAATTTCGACTCGCGTGGGGTGGGAGGCATCACAGACCATTCTTCCAGCCCAAGTGGAGAAAGTGCGAGCGGTTGTGTGATGAAGGGGATTAATGTTGCGACTTGGATTCGAAAGCACGCTTGTTAGGTTCTTTGCCCAGGTCGTATAGTTGGGGACGAAATTCTGACAGACCTAAATATGGTTAGTATTAGCCACCAGTAGCTGGCTATATGTGGGTACCCAAATGAACTAGGCAAGCGCGCCGCGACGCGTGACCTCCGCGTCGCGTCCGCCCCGCAGAACGACATCTCTCCCACGCAGGTAAATGCCTGCTCCGCAGAACCTCCCGTACCGAAACATGCAAGAGAGAACCCCAAAAATTCCGCAACTCCACAATAGAAAACCAAAGAAAGAAAAGACAAGCAAAAACCGCCACTCACCTGGTCTGGTATCTCCGCCGAATAACACGACAGCCGCACTTCTCGCAAAGACTGTCAGTCAGCCGGTTCTCTTCTATTATGCGTGTCATCATTAGGCCAATCCACCCCATCCTCTCCGTGTGCCACCGGCTTGTGGCTGGACTGGTATCTCTGCCGAATGATCCGACAGCTAACTTCTCGCAAAAACTGTCAGCTCGCCGGTTCTCTTCTATTATGCGTGCCATCATTAAACCAATCTACCCCATCCTCCCATAATTTGGTTCGAGATGGCTCATCCGTTCGAAACGGTACTAGATGGCTCACCGCGGCCTGGGGGAGTGATACATCAACCCTGGTCAATATTTGATGATCAATGATATATAAACCTCGCTCGTGGCCTGCCTGCTTTATATATCATTTGAGCAATGTATGTCCCCAGCGAGCTACCCCACGTTGTCGCTGCGGGCTACGATGAGCACGGACGTGGCTATATTTAAGCTCTGATTACCTCAGCATCCCAATCTGGTACACGACGCCGACGACATCGTCGGTGACGATGAGCTCGAAAATAGTATTAAAATATGGATGATTCTATTTGGCAGCCCCCCCTGCCGGCGATCTGGGGTTGCCAAATAGAAATTTGTTATTTGGCAGCCCCCACGTGAGAGATAAAATAAGATAGAAAATGTTTTCGGATAATTCTATTTGGCAGCCCTCAGGTGCTGGGAGGGGTTGCCAAAATAGAACTCGACTGATTTGTAAGATTTCTTCTGATGGCGGGTGATGGCAGGGCAGGCGGGATCCGGCGGGAGGTGTCCCAGCCACTCCTGATGATGAAAATACCTAGAAATAAATATCAAAAAAATTTGCCAGCAAGGAAGACCATCTTAGGCAATATTCCAATTTTTTTGGACTTCATCCCTCCGAAATGACGGTGATTTTAGATGTTTTGTGCTGTGATCGCTCAAACGGGCGAAAAGTCCTCGAAAAGAGCCTAAAAAATTTGTGAAAAAAATTAGGGCAACAATGGTCCAACACGAGGCAGGACTTCTTCGTCGCGCGCACCTTGTCCGACCCTCAGAGCGGCGGGAGACCGGCGAAAACATTGGATAATTCTATTAGGCAGCCCGGCTGCCAGCTGGTTTGGGGTTGCCAAATAGCATTTTTCTATTTGGCAGCCCCCTGTGCGTAAATCTTTCGGGGGCTAACAAATAAACTGAGAGTGCGCCATTGGTAAGTTATACAGCAGTCATTTAAATGCATCTACATTTATCACCCGCTTTTTAAGAGAGCAGTGGGAACAAAAAAGAGCTACACTTTCTAACGGATCTCGAACACGGGGAGTCGAACCCCGGACGCTGGCTAAACTTTTCTTCCGCCATCATGAATCAAAGCCAGGGTGTACCGTACACCACGCTCGAGTTCATCACACCAGTGCATAATTTAATTCGAGATGCAGGCAAAAAACAGAGGCAGAGTCGCACGCAGGAAGTTAAACGTAAATACCTCTCGTTCGCTGGATTTTATTTTCGCCGCAAAGAGTTCATTGAGCGGGAATTTCGGGTATAATCACGTCCAAGTTATCGTGCCCTGCTCGGCGTATGAATTTGCTTAGAGTAAATACTCAAAAAAAAAATTAGTCACCAACAATTCGGACGCGGGGAGTCGAACCCCGGACTCTCGCTGCATCGATGCTGAATCCTTGATCAACATCTACTAAAGGCAAGGGTGCACCGTGCACCACGTCCGAGTTGGACATCTAGGGCGGTCAGACTATATGAGCTAGACCTTGGGAAAAAGGAGAGGACTGAGCCAGAAAGACGCAAGAAGAATTGGGAGGTTGGACTTCTGGATTTTATGGCGCATCGTGTCAAAGGGCGAGTGTTGTGTCACTGATTTTTTTTTTCTTGTTCATGATCAAGTACTGTAAAGGTGCCCGCGCGTGTCTGAGTTTCATCATCGTCGACAGTGGCCTCACGCTGTTGCAACGGCGAAGTTGAAATTCCGAAAGGACAAAAAGAAAGAGGGCTGCCAGCGAAGACCCTTGCAGCTGTTAGCAGCAAGTGTCGGAAAAGGTCAAGTCGATGGTGGAGAAGGAGAATGTCAGAGGATCGAAAATCGAGGGTTCACGGGAGAAATGACACTCCGATCGGAATATGGTGCAGGCGGGGTTGAATTTATCTTCCAGAAGGTGATAAATATTCACCTTAATCCTAGCCTAGTGCGCACAGCCTACCAGATGGCGGACGGAGGATCTTATCAAGGATTAGCAAATTGTGGGGCTGCCAGATTCTATTTGGCAACCTGTCTCGAAAACGGGGGTTGCCAAAGAAGCCGGGCTGCCAAATAGAATTATCCATTGAAGAGAGTCTCAGGATAATTCCTGATGGCCAAACATGCCGCATGCTTGGCGCATGGATCGGAAATAATATATCCTACATTACACCGTGGTCTGCAGTACTTGAAAAAATTGTAAGGGACCACAAAAAACGAGATGAGATGAAGCGGCTCCTTGGACGAGGGCGAAGGAGTACTCGTGCAGTCCACAAACTAAACAGCGAGTTTACTATATCCAATTTCAGAGACAGGAAAGAGGCAAAGAAAGAAAAATGTTACGGTACCCGCCCCTAAAATCGAACCGGTTTCTCAATAGAATCCAGATGGCAGGTACACGCCAGCGACAGATGACCTCGGGCATTGTATATGTATGTACCCATGTCAGAATTTATTCCCCGAGAATGTGCGTGAGAATGCGTGTGCGCCAGAGAAACAGGTCAAGAGGAGAAGCGTCTTTACGGGAACGCGCCTGAATTGGCCGAGACGCACTGGGCTATCGAGCGTTGTCTGTCAGTGTTGTGGAACCCCGAATTCGAGAGCAAGCGAATCGATCTATACTGTACGGTGTTGGTGTGATGCGCGTGAGAGGTAGACACAGAAACCGTGCTCCGAGTGGGAGCGATTGAGGTAGGGATCAAAGAGGTAGAGATAGGTAGAGATCAAATGCACATGAGGACCGTAGCCAACTGTGAGGGATCGTGTCGATGAAGCCAGCATGAGCATAGCGGAATAGTACCGCGAGTTATGTAACCGTAGACGACCAGGGCGCATGTGAACCCGAAATTATCGGAGTTTGGTGTGGGTTGCACTCGAAGGAGAAGGCAAAGCTCGGTGCCGTGCTGATGGAACATATGATCCGCTACACCGCCACAGAGACGCTTGATCTGTTCCTCTATCTTCAACGTTCTCCGCCCATACACCGTACTGCGCGTCGACACCGTCCAGTCCATCGCCTGGGCACGCGACCAGACGCTGCTGGAGTGCGAGAAAAACATCGATTCCCTCGAGGTGAATGATGACTCGATGAGCTAGCCGGAGAGCCAGAGGAGCCGGAGAGTGGACCAAAGGAAGCGAATTACATGTGCGTTATACCTCTCTTTCTTCATGGATTCGTCTGAATGATATTACTCGTTGTACAAACTCCGGCAGCAGCTTGACGTCAAAGCGGAGCAGGCCGAGTCGGTGCATGTGGAGAAGTTCTGTGCTGTGGCGTCGAGGTCAGGGAGTTTGTCGTTTGCGTCGTTCACGCCTTCTTCCATTCCAACTCGAACTCGGCACCGCAATCGCAATCAAACTCTGGATCACTCTCGGGCTCTGGCTCATCGATGAGCATCCCCAAGCGCCACCGCGCCGCGCCCCTCCTCCGTCCCACCCAGCCATCTGCGTCGTCACCGAGCAGAGCGGCGCCGGTAAGGTTTGGGATTCCGTTGCTCCAGCTGGGGCTGAGCGTCACGGGGTTTATGTTGGGCGCGTTTATTTTGGGGTAGTAATGGCCCGTATGCGTCTACGGGGCGGAGCTTGGTCAGCGCACATACGGAGTGGTAGAGGTTACGGAAGTCTCGTATGCTGTGCGTGCCGTGTCCAGTTTGCACATCCCCATTCTCATCCTCAAACCTCATTTGCACCTCTGGCGTTTGTCCTCTTACACCTTATATCCCCACTGACACTCCTCGCTCACTCTTTTTCCGCTCGCTGGCATCTTATGGACCTTCACCTGCTATCTGATATGCTCTACTTACGACTCATGACTCAACAACTGACGCACGTTACCTATCTGGCTCTAAAGCCGATACCATCGAACGTTAATGTAATGCCTTTGGATTTGGCTGCCTTTCACGATGTCTGAGTCCGATTTATGATTTCCTGGTGCGTGTCCTCAACTCCGCATTGAGAATATGATACGCTGCACTTGGTCCGGCGCGGGGAAGCCATATCGACGCTACAAGGGCATGGATAACCGCATACCAGTTGGAGACGATTTGTCCGCTCTCCTCTGGACTCTCCTCTGGATGGCTCCTCGCGCCTCGTACTCGGATTACTCTCCGGGCTTCTCTGGGTGTGAACATGCAGCGTCGATATCCTTTGGTAGTTCGTTCCATACCTAGAATTTCTCGCTCGCACTTCTGGGACGCTCTAAATTGCCGGCATGTCTTCGAAACAACTCTTACCGTGCCTTCGTTCCATGTTCCTATTCGGTGTCTAACCTAAATCTCGCAACCCATCTTGGTAAAGTGCTGGTCCTCGACCGTGTTCCTACTCATTTCCCTTAATGGTCAGGAGAAATGCTCCATGATGAGCCTTGGCTCGTGTTTACTCCACTTTTATCCATCGGATTCCAACGACTGGTGTCCCCGAGGTCTTCACTGCGGTCACACTGAGACAATTATTATGAACCCTTTAAGTCGATTGCGTCAACTGGCTGGGGAAGCAGATGAGGACAAGGTTCTGAGGGAGATTTTTGATGATTCAGAGCTGCGGGACCTCATATTTTGATATGCCTGAAGGCAATTAGCGCGAAATGTTGTATTTATATGAATTTGGGATATAAGTATGGCACTCAATACTGGTTACGACCCTCTGAATTGTCCTTCAGAGTACTGTAGCGACAACATTTTGCAGTTTTTTTTTTTTTTTTGTAATCCAATTTTATTTACCCCTTACCGCGTACGGTATGTTAGGTATAATACTGCTCAATAGTATGTACGTGGCCTGGTAATCTATAGTAAGTCGTCATGAATGTAGTGTCTGCGAAAAATGCCCGCCCCGCCAACATTAGGCGAAGACGGGCGAGCGCGCTGAAAAGGAACGCATTATGGGTGGAGCTGTAGAAGCCTGGTGAGTAATGTAAGCGGCTCTCAGCTTAAAGTAAAGGTATAGGCGCCACGTAAGGGTGGGCACCCACTAGGTCCTGATTAATCCAAATCCCGGATTCCGGTCTATGGGTGATTTGATCAATCAAAACTCCTGGTGATTTATCACTCGCCGCTGCTGCCAAGGCTCTTCCGGATTGTTGAGAATTCGCACATGCACCGGAATGCAGTCCGGCGTAATGTATCTACCGGATTCGGAAGGTTTCTAATACGAGCTGGTCACAATGCATGGCTTTTCAGAATTTTAAATTGCCTTGCAGACCGCATCGACGTTGGCACATGTTTGCAGAGACCATCTGGGCATAGCGAGCATTCCCACATTTACTGATGGAACACCATTCCTGTTTGAGTGTCCCGCATCTCGTGATGCAATCAAGATACCGCGTCGTTAGTCCCCGTAAAAATAATGATGTTTTCCGTTGACGCTGTGGGCTGGGACAGCGAGAGAATTCTGGCCCAGGTGACGCTGATGGAGCGGTGTTGAGGCTCAAATAGGCAGAGAAACATCAAACGAAATCGCTGCGGGATCCGCCAGGCTCCCATTTATCCTTTGGACAGTAGAAGAGATGAGGTGTACACGCTCGAGCAGACTATGAAGAGACATACAGGGATAGATAGTGGATAGATACATACAGTGATACCTGTGAGAGTAATTCATGGAACCCTATGCTCATAAGAGTGTTCACACTTCAATGACCGGGAAGCTGATGGACATGAGATTATTACCAGCACTGTCTTAACAGGTGAAAATACCGACAAACTGCCATCTGAAGCCTTCTCCATTGCTTTCGAGATACTACACCCATACACTCTCACCCGACTGCAGCTGTGACGCGGCTCAATGAGATCGGTGATGAATTTGGGAGCCGAGCCCGTTTTACAAGTTAATGAATTGCCATACTTCATCTGATATTGGGCGACAGTATGTGAAGAACAAAAAAGATTAAACTGTCGGACTCATGAAACATGTCCATGAAATCCACGTCGACTTGGACACAAGTCAATTGGTGCATGTCCAAGTCAGTCTTGCGGGTCAAAAGTGAATCTTCGGCAGATCATCGCCGGTATCTGTATCAATCCTTGCGGATATAGCAACCCAGCGCCTATAAATGAGCTATGGTTCATGACAACCCCCACCAGGCCCCCAAGAACAATGTTGAACAAGATTGTCGCAACCTTCATCCTCCTCTTTGCACTGGCGCCCGGAGCCATAT